TTTTTATTTTGTGAAAAAGCGATACCCATAATACACTTTTGTTATATTCTTTCTTATTATAGATATTAAATGTCTTAGAACGTGTCGCACAATACAACTCGTCAAATTAAAGTACTTCGCATCTTTAGAAAATAGGTAAACGAGGTGCAAGTTAATTTGATCGAGTTGTAGTCGCTCGCTCGGCTCGCTCGCTTTTTCATATACCTACTAACCTAACCTAAGCCCACATGAGGGAGTCGACCTAGACAGGAAATGCAAACAAATTCGGTTCTGGTATTTGCCTCGATTCAATTATACGTTATTTATTGAATACTTAAGACCATTGTTTTTAAATTACATTTCAGAAATACTGCACCAACAAAGTGCAGTCCAGAATTTTGGAGTGGTACGGTAAAATTGTATGGGCGGTAAAATTTTATCTAAGAATAATAATTTTGTCGAAACAAATTTTCAGCAATCTAAATTATTTGGAAAGCAGACAGTATAACAAACATAATTAGACCAAACAAACTTGTGCCCAAAGAATACGTATGTGTAATAATGATATCTACTAATAATAGGTTTTCGGACAAACGATACTTCTGCTGTAACACATGTATGTATTGCAAATTTATACCAAAACTGTCGTCGCACTAATGAAAAAAAGTCGAACCGTTTTCGGAGTAATGAAATTCGGAAAAAAGAAATTCGAGTTTGTGATAAGTTACCATGAACCGTATTATTATTTATTCTAGATGCCAAGTATACGAGCAGGTACCTATCATGAATTTATCTTATAGCGAGGAAGTGTGTAATGATTGTGGCCGGTCTCTTCTCAACGAGTCCGGCAAAGTCAATCGCCCATTTACACATAAGTACATACATAGTAAACTATTGCAACGGAAATCATAGCATAGCCTTTTAGCGAAACTCTAGTCGGGATAAAGCAGTACAAAAACGGTTGTACAGAACTAGAAGTTCAACACGAAACTTTTAACAAATGTATACGGGATACAAAGTTTAAATTATTTTAGTAGGTTAAAACATATATGATACGTAACATGATCGTGGGCGGTGTTAATTTAACTTATAATCCTTTTTGCAATATTTTAGAGTTTAACTGAACGTTGTACTGTGGAACATTAATTGGGGATTATATGGTTTACGATCCTTTGTTTTCGGATGCACTGCGAATACACCCTTTGGTACGTATCACGGAAGAAGATACAACAATGGAAGTGCCTCAAGCCTTGATTACTATAAGAAGTGTTGTCGTCAGAACTTATATATTCGTAATTTGGAAGACTATGAAATCTTGATAATGATTGGTCTATTTATTTATTTATCAAAACACAATGTAAATTAACAGTAACAACCAAACGCTTACATGCTAATTTCTTATACTACATATTTGCCTTATAAATTACTTTGCTAATACTGTCGCAAATGATATCAGCATCCTGGACCTTTGCGACTAGACAATTAAGTAACGTGAGACTCCATTTCGTGGGCGCGTTGTCAGTCCGGCAAGTCGCACCCCTCATGGACGAATGGCATAAGTGAAGTAACGTCAAAAATGTTTATTGCTCTATTAGATACAGAAAAATATAACCCACGTCTTCTCCAATTCTTGTAACTCTAGCTACAATATTAGTCGCTAGGGTTACAAGAATTGGAGAAGATGTGGGTTATATTTTTCTGTATCTAATGGAGCTATGTAGGTTTTTGACGTAACTTCACTTATGTCATTCTTCCATGATGGGTGCGAAGTGTGTCGCAGGGGGCGCAAACAATTTATGTCGGCGTCAGCCCGTGCAGACGTATCTGTTTAGCACAAACGGATCGACGTTGTTCAGTGTTCCGGGATTGTACGCCTTTTACCAGGAGAAATACGTAATGGAGTACGGTTCAAACTTTACGTCTTACTTCCAAGGGTCAAGACCGACCATTCCATAGACAATCTACCGTCTAGTTTTAAATGAATATAATTTCCTGAACGTTAAGCCTTGGTAGGAAATTATCTATAGTGTTCAGTGTTGAGAGCCAATTGTATATTAGCCAAAAGAAGCCTAAGTTAAATAAACACCAACATTTCTGGCCACGCGGCTAAATATCTAAGTAACAACTTACATACACTCGAGGTCCCAGGTCTTCTTGGAAAAGGCAGAATCCAAAAAAATAATGAATTCTGGATTGTTAATATAATTTAAACTTTACCCTGTTGGCATATCGTTGAAAGTTCAAAACCCTCAATACCTATTATTGCAAGTTACAACGTTATGATTTTATATTGAAATTTCAATCAATGTGGTAGCACATCTTGCGGTTAACAACTGAACGACGACGAATTCGAGATGTTAGTTCTCCAAAAAAGAAGCGGCCATATGTCAGTGTTATAAGATTCGTTTCTTGTAATAAAAAATGATAACGATAAATTTTGAAAAAAATGAAAATTGATTAACACTTAATGATGATACGAAATACCACCACAGATAATATTACAACAATATTACGATTTCCATTTTTGTACTCTAACGTAGCGCAATAAGTCATTTCTCTACGATTTTCGAGGTTTTGCGCGAGACAATACACGACGATTAACGTACAAAGAAAAAATGGTGGACTGAGCTCAAGTTTGTGGTACTCCGCGGACTGTTGGCACACGTGCGCCGCAAACTAAGCACTTCTACTGTATATAATGTTCTGTGGTACGTATCATACGTCGAAAGTCTATTATCACACGAGAGTCACAAAAATAAAACGAACCACATGAAATTAATTATGTATATTTGAAATTTTATAACTCTATTAGTTAAGCATAAAAAAGTTATCGAATGATTTCGTTAGCTTAAAATCTCTCTTCAGAAAAGTTGTCATTTTGCAGATGTGGCCTTATTAGACCATGGGTGATAATTCTTAATAATACATTTAAGTGAGCGAGTGCCGGCGAGTGCTACACGCAAATTTGCTTGCATTTCCGAACATACATGAACATTTTCAGTTATAATTAATATAATATTAGTAAAAATTATGAACAACATTTACTTAGTTTTAAAAATAAGTATCTAAATTTTATTTACTTATTTAGGGATAGTCAGAGACACCAGTCTTTCATTTGCTACGATCCTGATACACATCTTTCGCCTCATCAACACGCATCAATGCTTTCATACACGCTCGTCATTCAAGGGTACTCTTGACCTGGCCCTTCTTTAGGATGGCCTCAATTTGGTCATGGTAAGTTCGCCTTGGTCGGCCTATACCAACTTGCCCGCTCACACTCGCCTTATAAATCTGTTTCGTCAATCTTTTATTCATTCTCTCTATCTTTGTCACTATATCTTCTTCCACGCCGCAACGGTCTCTTATCACAGTGTTCCGTAATTTATCCGTTCGAGTCACTTCAGCCATACTTTTCAAAGCTCTCATTTCTACTGCATTAATTCTACTTTCATGCTTCTTCTGCCAAACCCAACATTCACTACCATACAAAAGGGTAGGAACCAGCACCCCCCCATGCACAGCCAATCGTGTCTTTTTAGACACTTTCTGGCTGCACATGAAGGCATGAAAGGCACTATTCACCTGATTCCTTGCGTTCACTCTCCTTCAATGTCTCTTTCATATTTTCTATCACACGTAAACATAGAACCCAAATACACAAACTCTTTCACTTGTTCCACTTTCTTAATATTGCGCAATCCGTCATATCTTCCTCTCTTTCAAAAACCATTACTTTCGTCTTGCCCAGATAAATATTATTTTTAAGGCATTTGTCTTAGTTTTGAAGCCCAATATAAGACTGTTAAAGTTAATTTATTATACAAATCAAAATTATTTTGCGTAGCTCAGAACAAATTCAAATATATATTGATTAATTTATTTCATGTCTCAGAGAAAAATGATCAATCATTAAAAAGATGCCCGTTTAAGTTTTTTTGCCTGCTGCTTTTGCAAATTTTAAATAAATATACCTTATAAAAATTATACTTGGTTCGATTGTGTTTTTGTGTTAGTCTGCCGTCGCCGTCTTTATGTTGTTCAGGATATCGTTTTCTTAAATAGTGGAATTTATTTTCTAATTATGAGTAAAAAAAACTGAGTAGTTAGGGCTCGCCGTTGTCGACCCCATTGCTGTGGCGCCCGAGGCCCTCGGCACCCCCACGCTACTCCACTATCTCGAGTACTATATTGAATATGACGTGGCCTTCAAATTGCAGGTAATATGGTGGCAAACTAATCACCATGTGTGACAAAGAATTTGCCTTATTTGCTTATTCGACAAATACTGTATTATACCAAACTCGCGTTATCGCGTACTGGTCGGTTTCTCAACACACACAAAGGAGCCAAACGTCGAGTATACATATAACCAGAAATAGAGACGAAATAAAGGCCATCCATCCCTGGCAACTCAACAGGCAAATGAGACTTATATCACTTTTAAATAAAAAATCTTGTTTGCACTGAAATCATAAATTAGAAAGCTGAAATAGTATAGCGTAAACAACTAACATGTGTGTTATACGTCTCCGTATATTCCAAAAATATTCTGTATTTATTGTAATAAAGATAATATCTCTAACAATGGCTGTCCCATTCGGTGGTGTGGGAAAAACAGCAAAATATCTAATTACAAAACAAACGGAATTACATTTCATCGGTAATTAAATATTAAATATGTAATTTTTGATTTTTCGTCCATTGTAGCAAAGCTCAAGTTAAACTGGCCAAATTGAAATGAAACAATTTACGACACCCATTGACGACACCTGTCAATTGTTTCGAATTCGGGTTGGTCAATCGGAACGCAGTTGTCACCGTAATGATTTGGCAGAATAGTTTTCAAACAAAATAAAATGACGTTTCGTCTCTATTTCTGGTTATATACTCGAAGCCAAATAAATAAACCGTTCTATGGTCGTATTCATTATTTTAACTCCTTATTTGGCTCCATTGTGTAAACGGTCATATTCGTCAGTATCTGCATGTTTGTTCGTACATCAATTAGAGGCTATTTATTAGCTTTCACATCTTTGAAGATAATTATCGTTCCACCATTTCCTAAACTCTTTATAACTGGGCCGTTGTCCCACTAAATATTTGCTGTTCATAATTTGGCATAAACGACAAGGATTTAACACAAGTGATGACCGTATGGAGTAATGGTTTTTCCAGCGAAAGAAATCGTAATATAGTTCAGGATCAGTTATCACGGCGTACATCCTTTCAGCTAACGTTCCTTCTGACATCTGCGTTCCATCTAGATACGAGTTTGGTGGCAGGAATCTGGAAAAAGTATATGAATAAAAATGTGCCAGAATATCACGTTTAATTTTAGTAAAAGTGAAGAGGTTGTAAACCGCTAATGTACCGTGGCCAGGATCACGGCAGTAAAATAGAATACTCCACATAATTTATTTCATAAGTCGAAAGAAAACCTGAATGCTGTAACAAGAAAACGGTGTAAAAAACAGGTACAATGCTACAAAACACTCCCTACTTAAGTACTAAAGAAATGAGACAGACTTACCCTGAAAGGGCCGAGTTATACAATAAATATTACTAGGTTAGATTGGTATTAAAATTGGCACATGATTTAGGTGGGGAACTGCTAAAAGGATCAAAATTAGAGGAGCAGCACCGCTCGCTACAACGATTGAGCAGAGAGTGACGACGGAACGAAACAAAATGAGAATGACGAGGCAAAGGAATTAAAGAATGATTCAAAATTTGAAAACAAGTGGTTAGGAAGCAGAAAAAAGGTAATAAAAAGGTGGGATGACGATGGAAGAGGTCGCAATTCGCACGACGTACGTTCCTATACGTCTGAGGCACCCTGGGCAGCGATCGATGAGTCAGACGCTGATTGGTAAATCCTTATACCAAGATGGTATGCGTTATATTGTACGCCATTTTTTTTTATAATAGCAAGTGACGGGACGAACAACTCGTGCGTCTGATCTGTCCATAATAGTTGCAGTGCCACTGCGTCACCCTGAGACATAAGTTGACAGGTCCCACGTGTCCGTAATTTCACAAGCACCCTTACCCTTCAAAACCGGAATACGGTAATGCTGATTTTGCTAATGTAATGTAATGCATTACTGCTTGGCGGCAGAAATAGGTAAGGTGTCAGTACTTCCTTGGACGTACTCTTTCCAACGAGCTCTACTGCTATTAAAACGATATTGATATCATCCATTGGTAAGAAGAAGAAGTTTCAGTAACGGTAGTGCTCCTTGTGAAAGGGTTCGTCCAGGAAAGTACTTATTACTTTTAGTATACTTATTTTTACCGACAAGTAGAGAATTAGTGCGTTTCGATTTTGAATGGTAAAGGTGTTGGTGAATTACAGGCACAAGGGACTTATCCATAATATTAACCTTAGAGCTAAGTCCAAATTCATGGTACCACGGTTTCGTTTAACCAAGGTAAACAACTCTTTTATGGGGAACTGTATACGTTTTTTCAATAAGATTCCGGAGCATATATTAAGTTTATAATTTCCTAAGTTTAAAAACTACATTAAAAATATTTTGATCGAAAAATCATATCACAAAATTGAAGACTACGTGTTAGATAAAGATGTATGGAAAGACGACATGGCTCCAGAATCCACACAAATTTGATTCAAAGTGTATTCCATAGAATTTAAGTTTATTTGAAAAGAGCAATCCCTAGAGTTTCTTGCTTGTTCTTCTCAGGGAGGTCAGCGTAGTGAACGAGCAGTAGCTTAAATGTGACGTTTTCAAGTGTAAATTTATTTTACCTATGAAATAAATAATCTTTGACTTTGACTTTGACTTGTCAACTTATGTCACAAGGTGACGGATGCAGTGATAGAGCTCTTCGATAGAGAAATACACAGAATTAGACCGGCCGCGGTGCAGACCCGACTCGTACCCGACCCGCTCTCTGTGTGTTTCATTACGCGTGCTAGCGAATCTGCAAGTACATGGGCCTTCTTAACTTCAAGTCTCAAGATGACGCGCGCGGTGCCCCTCAGATCTTTCCGACTAAAGTTTAAAGTAGTGAGTGGCGCTGCAATTGTTATGGGTAGCACGACTTGTTGGTCTCATAAGTTGATACCATAAATCAAGTCTTCAAGTAAGGAATGCCCTGTATTATTGTAATACTGGTATATCGAGTATATAACCAGAAATAGAGACAAAATGTCATTTAATTTGTTTGAAAACTATTCTGCTATATCATTACTGTGACAACTGCTCTCCGATTGGCCAGCCCGAATTCGAAACAATTGACGGGTGTCGTCAATTGTTTCACTTCAAATAGACCAGTTAACTTGAGCTTTACTATAATGGACGAAAATTGCAAAGTTACATACTTAATTACCGATGAAATTTGATTCCGTTTGTTTTGTAATTAGACGTGTTGCTGTTTTTCTCCACACCGGCGAATGGAACAGCACGCCATTGTTAGGGATATTATTTTTATTACAATAAATACAGAATATTTTTGGAATATACGGAGACGTACACACAGGTCAGTTGCTGGCGCAGTAAGTGACGTATCACTGATGACTTACCAGTAATGTATGGCCCTTATTTCGTATCTATTTCTGGTTATATACTCGACGTACTGGAATAACAAAGGATTTTCCATATGCATTCCTCGGGTCAGAATCATTTTTAGCTAAAAAAATTTGAACCTAATCTGGAGACAAATCTGAGATTTCCTCATGTCATGTCAAAAGATTAAATTAACCAACTGAGCCTTCGAAATGGTTGAAGTGTTATTTAGGTTCCATCTATATTTATGACCCTTTTTATAAGAGGTCCACTGCTAAATATCATTGTCATAATAAAATATAACGTTTAATTTGGGTGCAGGCTGCATTTAATCATGCCTTTATCGATCTGCGATTCCTTCGGAACTATTAGAAGTCGGACAATATTTTTTTTTTATAATACCAACAGACCGTTTGATAGTTGTAGTGCGACTTAGAGCTTTAAATCGCAAAGTTCTTAAGAGATGAGTTGACAAAGTCCCATTACTGCTCGGCGGCAAAAATAGGTAAGGTTACAGTACTGTAGTGGCAGTACTTCACTGGAGGAACTCTTTTATTAGTAGCTCTACTGCTACTAAATATGTACATTGGACATTTACCTGACACTACAATAATAAATATGTTTATTTCTCACCACAAAACATAAAAGTACGTAAATCTTAGTAGGTACAATTACAGTAGTATATTGTAGGATATTGCACTGCTATTACAATAGTGTTGTAACTCAAAATATGTGAAATTCGAGATTATACTGATGCTGAACGTAAAATTTGATTCTCTACACGTCAATAAAGGCGTCATTAGAATATTGTAAGAAACAGTTGAGATATCTACTTACCTCAAAATGAGACAAAACTTTTTGTAAGTCTTTACGCAAATATCAGTATATTCGGCGTTGTTTACATGTCTGTAATAAATTCTAACCGTGTAGATTTAAATGTAAATTATATAAATTTAAATATACATTTTAATAATCTGTCACGGAAAGTGAGTAATTCGTTTTTCATCGATTCTCAAAAAATACACATTTTGAGTTAGTACACTATTGTATTAACAGTGCGATTACAAGTCACCAGGCCCCACCCCTTGATTAATGAGACTTAACATTACTAAGTAATAGGTAGTAGCAGAATAAACTTGTACTAGTAACTAGAAGTAAGTAAGAAGTAGATGCGTGCGTGTGTGTGTGTGAGCGCGTGTGCGTGCGCGCATGTGACGGTTTGTGTGTGTTGTGGGTGTGGTGTTTGAATATGTGACTATATAATGTGTATGTATATATCGCACCCCTTATGTAGGAATGGCATAAGTGGAGTTACGTCAAAAACTTTTATTGCTCCATTAGATACAGAAAAATATAACTCACATCCTCTCCAATTCTTGTAACTCTATCGACAAATTGTCTAGAGTTCAGGATAGTATGAAAGAGAGAAATACTTACTCCTCATAAGTTGCACCACCGTAAACTATTGGCACAGCATTATTATCATACGCGTAAAGAACTTCAGTAGTAATATAATCCACAGATATCGAGTCTTCAAATGCTAAGTAGAAGTAATAATTCTTTCTAATGCGCCAGTGGCATGGTTGCATATTTCTTCGTTTGCATTTGTTGTTGCCGCATTTGCCGTACACATCTACTGTAAGGTTGTATGCGGCTAGGTGACGCTGAAAGCATAAAGAGAGAGAGAGACTTCTTCTAACAGATGTCTCCTGGCTACACGTATGAACCCGTAGACGGGTTGATTGCCACGTCTTGATTCAAAGCTTGCTACTAATACCGAAAATATTTCGATACAGATTTATTATTACATAGTAGGTCCCGCAATATGTACAGTATATTGCTGGAACTGCTATGTAATACCGGTAAGTATTAGTATTGTTTTGAAATAAGACAAAAATAAATAAAAAGTATTACGTGCATTGTTGTCATTTGGATTAAATCTGTATTTTAAGACTGCCTCCGTGGCCGAACGGTTGCCATGCTTGGACCGGACTGCCACGCAGAGGTTCCAGGTTCGGTTCCCGGGCCGGAAGAAATATTTGTATGGCCTACATTTATTTCTCTCGTGAGTATGGGTGTAATTTGTGGTTGTCTATGTGTATGCCAATGGCACCCGCGACATAGGTTTTCCCTAGTGCTATGTTGAGTGTGTGCGTTATTTATTATTAATTTTTCGGTTAAATACCGTAAGTATAGTGACTTTTTGTAGTTTTTGAGGATGATTTAATTTTTTTACAGTTTGTTTATTTGATGTATGTGATATATACTCTTACCGAAAGTTTATTTACGTAAACTTCTCTTCCACTGTTGGACACGCAGTTGTCCATAATAATTGCAGCCGCTATGGATTTTGATGCAAATTGTGTCTTCTGAAAATTGTCCAGTGGATCCATATCTTCCAACCATTGTAAATGATTTCCTAACTCTTCTCCATGGAGATTGAATGTAGAAATGAATCGGTATACGATTGTAGAGTCTGTCCTGAAAGAAAATGTTTTTATTATAGTAAATCGTTGACATATCATAGCGTGTTCAAAATGAAACTTTTTTGTTTTCGATGGAAAAAAAAAGGTAAAATCTTAGAATCAGAATCCCCGCATTTTTTCCACATAGCGCCAATTCCTACACAATTCCCAATCGAGTTGAAATTCGAGTTGATTTCCCCACAAATTGGCAACACTGAAAAGTAATATCGAGCGCATTCGGGCGACCTTCTTCCCACGGCGCGTAGCGTGAGCTCGTACCTTTGAAGTTACTGACACACAGTGGATCCAAAAACAGGCAGCCACGGGCTACCACGCGCGCGCTCGTTCGGCCCTTTTTCCACGACGCGTTGGCTCGAGCTCACGCGGCGCGACCCGTAGAAGGATGGGCCGTGGGAAGCCGTCTTTAATGCAGGACCGCGAGAAATTTGAATTATGAAACATGGTACTATAATTTAGATGTCTTTTCAAAGCGAAGTTTTTGTAGCACTAGAGCTCCTTGTGAAAATGTTCGCCCAGGACAGTACTGCCACCTTACCTATTTCTGACGCCAAACAGTAATGTGACCATTACTATGTTTTGGTTTTGAAGAGTATAAAGGGTACTGGTGAAATCATAGGGTACATGGGACTTTTTAACTTATGACTCATGATGTGCGCAATGGCAGTGCCCCTCAGATCTTTGCGATTTAAATTCTGAGCGGCACTGCAACTGTCATGGACAGGCGAGTCGCTTACCACCAGTTGCACGACTTGTATGTCCCGTTACTTGGAATTATAAAAAAAAATGGAATTGCACTTTCTAAGCAAGTATGCTCTATATTCGATTGCATCTTTACTTCACAATTTAGTGACATAGTAGTGAAATGCTTTTATCACAATAATTTGCAAATATTCAAAGAAGGGTTGTACGTACCTGTAGGTCCAGGACCAATTAAAAAAGTCATCGTATCTATGATCACAAACTGGATAATTGTCAGCCGAATTATTTGCTGCGAAGATATATTTCTGATTCAAACTTCTTGTACTCGGCAAATCGCCGGCATCTCTACTAACGTCTTGTACATTGAAAACAATGGCGTCAAAGTACCTTAAATCGCTAAACAAACTTCTATTTACCGTCAAATAACAATTGATAAAATCACACTTATGATCAATAAACTCTTTTTGACCGTCTTTAAAAGTGTGTAATCGCGTCCAGAGAAGAATATGTTTCATGTCCACTATAAAACGGTCGATGCGTTTGATTTTTATGATCTTTTCAGATCTTTGAGAAACTAAATAACTGAACATTAATAGATAGAACATATGAGTGATTATTCTAATATATCTTGTTGACAATCTAGGCATCTTTTGCCCTTGTTTATTTCTTGTTTGCGTTGAAATATTTCTTAATGTGAACATAATTTTTATTGCAAATGCATAGCCGACACGACAGTAGCATTGAAACTCTGAGATCACAATGAAAGGAAAATATGTATTATTCCGAATTCAGCTGTCTCTCAGTTCCTGGAAAGCATTCTTATGGTTAACAAAGAAAAATTCAGTGTTTACAAATCAACAGCCTCAACTCTATGAAATATAAAGTCACTAACGATTCCTACTTAAAGATTACGTGACGTAGTAATTAGGATATTAAAATTTGAAATTGCTTATGTTTAGAATTTTATTTTTATACACATGATATTGTCCCTCCTTGGCATTTTTTTTCTATATGTAACAAACACACGCTTGGCAACAACATTGGCAAAACGTGTCAATCAACGTGATATTTTCTGGTGACCCGTAATTCAGGTTTTTCTATACCTATCTCGGGCACCAGTCTCTCACAAAACAGTCTGACCAATTTTTGGTCTTGTTTTTTAAGTTCCTTATTCTTAAGCCTGTTTTGTGATTGAGAAATAAATAAACTTCATTCATTCATTCATTCATTATAATTTTTCGAAAATGACACCAAAAAAATTTTTCGTTGTTTTTGATAGTTTGTTCTAAAATGAAAACTTTTGCTGTTGTCACCTCAGGAATGATGATTATTGTGATTTACTACTGTAAGTCCCCAACTACACCAAGCACAACAGCAAATTTTTTATTTTACAAGTAAATTTTATAACAAACTATCAAAAACGAGTATTGTGTTGAGTATAGTCCGTCTTATGCTATATACTTACACATATCATCACACACGCACATACACACACGCGCGCACATACACACACACACACACACACACACACACACACACACACACACACACA